AACTGAGTCATTACACTACAGGTGTAATTTTAAACGGCACAAGAGAGCAGTTGGCCCAACAAGGATTAAGAAAAGTGAGTGAAACTTTCATTATGTTTCTGAGTATTTAGGTCATACATACAACATTGATTGTATTTTTGAATGTCATACAGGTCAGCTTTGAGCAATATGATGGTGTAATCGCTGCTGTGAATGTCAACAATGTACACTGGAAGTTTGTGGTAAGTAGAAAATAAATATCTTGTTTAAAATACCGATGGTTACAGCTGTGGTGTGTTTGTGATGCAGGTAATAAAAATAGTTGTATACTTAAGCTTTGTTTTCAGCTTTTTCCACATCAGACTGTGTTTCTAAAATTAAGATTTGATGCTTTTTGTGTAGATGGCCAGGCAGGTTGTGGAAGACTTTCCAAAAATTCCGGAAAGCATTGACATAGATCCCAGCAAGGACTGGATGTGGAACTGCAGGAGAACTATGGCAAAAGACATTTTACTAGCATCAGGTATTTTAGCTTTTTTATGTCCTTTGTGTATTAGTTTGACAGACCATTTATTAAAAGCATATCCCTATCTTCATTTTAATAATTGCAGTCTCAAGGGAAGAATATTGTTCCGTCTGTGGGCAAAAACCTGAACCAAAAAAGGACGAGATTTGGGTAATCAATTTGTCATGATTTCATTACTGACAAAATAGGAAGTGAATTTTAAAAAGAACAAATCTAACAACATGTGTCCTTTTTGTTCTCAGATTCAGTGTGAATTGTGCCAGAGGTGGTTTCATGTAAATTGCCTTAACATAGTGGTCCCATCAAAAGACCAATCATGGTTTTGTGTTTTGTGCATATAACTTATGTAGAGGTGTTCATTGTACCTGTGTTTGTAACTTTTATTTTTATTTGTTATGCTAAATGCATAAAAAAACAGTACATTTTCTGTCTGTAATGTTTATTATACATTTGGCCTTGTGGCTCTATGTTTACATTAGTTTTTTTGAAGGATAAACAAATATTTTTTTGCCTATTCAACTTTCGTGTGTTTTTTTTTTTTTCTGTTTCAAAATTATTGATTTGAAATGACTAAAATGTCAACACTAAAAATTACTAAATAGTACTTTATCAGAGCATTTAGAGAATCTTTGTAAAAGCAGCACCATGCAGAGAGACAGCATTAACAGTGTAGATATTTGTTCATAAAATTAGCGTAATCCAATTTAATTAGGCTGAATCATTTGAGCTCTAGTACATTCAAGAGATAGCAGCTATTTCAGAATATATCTGTTTTTGCATGTATCTCCAATGGGCTATATATGGCTGCATCAGCTACGTTTTGATTTTTGTTTTTTAATGCAATACATGCAGAAGTGATGTAACAGTGTATTTATGTACAGTGTTGGGCAAGTTACTTCCAAAATGTAATACATTATATATTACTAGTTACTGTCATGTCAAGTCAAGTCTCGGATTATTGTTTGGATGTTTGGATCACACTGTAAATAAACTGCACTTGGGTTCTTCACTACTCTCGCCATCAGTGGATGATTCGTTACAATAGTGCACCATTTGCACAAATGTCATTTGTGCCATACATTAATTTTTATTGCTAAAAATCATCTAATATCTTTGTTGTTTCAGATTAAGTATATCTAAATATCCATAAAAGTAAAACTGTTTAAAATAGTTATCAGATAAATATTTTAGAATAGAGTTGATCTTATTCTTTTACACTGGCCAAATAGTATTTCCATTGTTTAAACAATTCAACATCTTTTTGCTATTTTTAGTGGAAACAGATAGGCCTGTGTTTATTGCAGTGTAAATACAATTGTCTGCGTCACTGACAAAGTATTTTAAAATGGAAACGTGACATCAACAACACAGTGTCCGCCATAATATCGAAGTAAGTGCGCAGCATTGATCATTAGTCTCGCTACAAAAATATTTTCTCGTAACGTGAGATCTGCAGTTTAGTTTAAATATTAATTATTGTGCACCTATAGCACTCTTCGCTGTCATTAAAACATAACATGCCACAGGAAAAGTGATCAAGCGCATCCACTACAAATGTGTGTAAATTCATAT